ATAAATAATAGAATAAATTCTCTGAGATGAATAATAAAGATAAATGTGTGAATCCGAAATAGCCTGGGATTTGTAGATTTTATATTGAGTACTCAAAAGAAAATGAAACTTCGGACTTTTAAGGCTATCAATTATTATTTATCGAATTCAGCTCTTGATTAGTGACATATATTACTGTAACTATTTAAAAAACCATCTAAATTAAGTACGACTAGTATATATATATACTATTAAAATTTTAATGTCTATCTGTCCGCTTTTCGAATCCGATTGGTCGAAATTCGTGTAATAAGGACCCGTGATCTGAATTCTTTTTAATGTCTTAACATCTATAACTACTGTATTAAAATTTTAAATGTCAATATTCTTATCGCTCTTTTCGATTTAGTTGGATCGATGAATTTTGCAGATTTTTTTTTTTTGCCCGTGAGTCTCAAATATGCATAATAATTGTCGCAGATCATAATGAAATCGGATTAAAATGAAACTGGGGACCTTTCTTGCTCATCTTTAAAGCTTATAAAACCCACTTATACTCTTTTATTAATAAAACTAACTCTAAACCCTAACCCTAAAAAATGTCCCCCAAAAAATTTTAAATTTTCCTAAAAAAATAGAAAAATTTCATTTTAATCCGATTTTATTTTAATCTGCCACAATAATTATTTGTAATTGTTAGCTGTTTAATTATCATATACTGTATATATATATAACATAATAACAGCTATATATATAACAATTATAATATGCAGGGTATATACATATATGAGACTCACGTACGTACGTACGTATGTACAAAAAAAAAATCTGCAAAATTCATCGATCCAACTAAATCGAAAACGATAATGCATCCGATAATGCGTTCATATCTGATATGAACTGAATCATATAATTTGCTGTAACACGTTAGTATTTTTTTTATATTTTTTAATTTTTCTTACAGGATCCTGAATATATGGTTAATGTAACATATAGAAAATTGTGAAACACATCACTGATTTACTTTTCATCTAATAATGTCAATTTTCAGTCACTACTTTTGTTCGATATGAAGGGCTCTGGTGTGGCTAGTTTTCTATTTTTTATTATTTTCGTTTAGTTGATAACTGAGACAACCCGAGCTGACCTGATTATAGTAAATTTATTACAGATCATGATTCATATATTACCTAATCACAATCAGTGTTTGAAATTAGTGTTCTCAGAGTTCTCATGAGAATACTACTATAAATTTGTGCACAGTATAAATTTTTTACTGTTCACTATTAAGAATTTTTTGAGAACAGTAAATTAATATTTGTGTTCTCATAAGTAAATAATAAGTAGCTGTAGATTTGAAATGAAAAAATGTATCATATTATAAAGAAGATGAAGATAATAATTAGATTTATTTATTTTTTTAAGAATTATTTTCAAAATATTTTATTAAACTATATATTATATTTGATTACATCAGTATTAGTAATGAAATCGTATGTTTAGCACAAAATTATATGCTGAAAAATTTATACATACGTACTATTTTTGACTCTTAGTACTACTATACTGTATATATTTTTTCTAATAAATAAAATATTGTTTGGGCCCTGCTTTTTTTTTTTTTTGTGAACATAAAATAGTAGTTTGAGAACACCTATCACGGTTTTAAACTGATTACTAACTGATTACTGCCTGATTTATGTACCAAATTTTGGTACAAAAATTGACATAAATCAGGCAGTAATCAGTTAACAATCATCAGTTTAAAATCGGGTACCTGATCTGTGTCTGGTTTGCCATCTTTCGACCTGTGTATAGTTATTATATTGTTCTCATGAGAACAGTATTTGGTTCTGAAATTTCAAACACAGGTCACAATACGCCACCAAAAATTTTCGCCCATTTGTTTGCTCTAATTCTCCCCAATAAATGAATATCCAAATCCCGTGACCCGGAATTAGAACCTCGTGATGTAATCTAGAGCTCTAATCTAACACCCTAATAACTCGGAACAAATCTCACCACGCCTCGATCGTAGCCTGCCACCATTAGGATTTAAGTTAAATAGTATGTTGTTTTAGATATTCGTGAGACCCATATTTTGTGATTCCGGATCAGTTACCATCTTCACATTTCAGCAAAGACCAGTAATTACAAGCTTACAATGCGTATGGAATTCTTTGAATTACCAAACCACGAACCACCAAGTCAGTAAGTGCTAGAGTGGCCAGATCATTACTTTAGTACTTTTGGTTTGGCAGATTTTATGGGATCTGTATAAAATGAAAGTTCACTGAACCCTTCTTTATGAACACTAGTTTTCTAACTAAAATTATTTGTTTAAAATTCGATCAACTAATGAAATTTTTTTAAACATTAAATAAACAATTATTTTTTATTTATAAATCTTACAAATATTTACTTGATATAGAAGTCGCAACTCAAAACAATTTTATTTCAACATTAAATCTTTCAACTCAATACGGAGCAAAAATAAATTTTAAAATTCCATCTGTAACTTTATTTAAAAAATTGTTGGTATTAAAGCTTTCTGCACATTATATAAAAATAATTAAAGATTAGAAAAGTAAATGTTTTATATTTTTATGCAAACTCTATAAATGATATTTATTTTTGATAAATGAGAAAAGTCTTGACACGAATTTATAATCAAACCTTTACAAGGTTTTTTAGATAAAGTTATAAATTCTAATTCACCTCAATAATTACTAACCATTTGATACTAATACCGTATAAGCGCGTAATAACGCACATGGGCGTTATTTCGAAATTTCGTTTTTTTTAAAAATGGTATATTTGACTTAAAATAACGCCCATGCGCGTTTCAAAATAACGCGTCTCCATATGCACCAGATTATCTTTCATGTGCTATTTTGAATATTCGAATAAATTTAAATATGATAAGCTTAAGTTCAACCTCTAAAACTAAAACCTATTTATTATCATTAAATATAATTAACAATATATCTAGATTTTATTCGCCTTATATGGTCTTTATCTCAAAAAAACCAAGTATCACTTTCTAGTTCTATCATGATGTCTCAAGAAATTGAAAACTTTTTCAAAAATTTGCGCATGCGCGTCCCGAAATAACGCGTTATTACGCGCTTATACGGCACGTACTTGTGACTCCTATAGAGAATGTACTAAATCTCAGAAATAAAGTTCGGAGATGATTCTTTTTCGGTTTTATGCAATCTTAACCTTGAAACTACCTCTTCTAGGATCGGGTCAACTCGGGTTGAAAATACTTAAACGTTTCGTGTTCTGAATAATAGTCTAAAATAAACGCAATTTTATCACAAGAGGTTTTACGGCAATTGCAGTTATTAAAGAGATGGTCAGTTAAATGTATGTGAAGATACGAATGGTCGAGTATTAAATTTGTGCATAAGTCAACGGTAAATTCAAGAGCGATCGTGAATTGTGATTCACGATTATCACAGTATTGAGATCGTTAATCTCTTATCGGTTGACTTATGTGTTTACTCCTGTGTGAAGATACGAAAAAAGTAGGATTTTATTTAAACAATAAAGGTGTCGACCCTGTCGATTCCCAGTGGGATATCGGGCTATCTATACATGTCAGTTAATTATAATCATCGGCTATTAGCTATAATATATCTACTCTATCGGATAATTATACATACTGATGGGCAATCTGCGGTTTCCATAAAACCTTGCGCGAGAAACAGGATCAGGCGCGTGATTCGTGGGATAGGTAGTGTTCCGAGTTGATTAAAAATTTTACAGTCGATTAGTTGCAACTAATAGTCAATAAATTTAATTGGCATAATAAATATTCACGCGTTTTCTATATCATTTTAAACCATTCTGATTGGCCAAAAAAATTCTACATCTTAAATTTATTATTAGTTGATTAAAAATTTTCAATCGATTAGTCAACTAGTTGGTTTTTCAATTAACGATTTAGATCACTAGGGATAGGTTGTCTTCCATATTTCAGAATTTTGCATCAACTCGGAATGTTTCACACAAAATATCATAATTATTCGGTTTAATTTTATTAATTTGTATACAATCTAAAAATTTTTTATAAAAAAATTTACTACAATACTAAATTTATCACATCATATTCGAATTTACCGTATAGGCGCGTAATAACGCACATGGGCGTTATTTCGAAGTTTCATTTTTTTTAAAATGGCATATTTGACTCAAAATAACGTCCATGCGCGTCTCAAAATAACGCGCCCTTCCATATGTACCAGATTATCATTCAAGAAAGTAGATGAAATTTTTTTTCAAAATTAGCATAATGATTCGAATTATCACGCATGCGCGTCCCGAAATAACGCGCCTATACGGTATTAAAAAAGGTTTAGGAGACCCTAACTTATTTATAACAATATACCTTGTACAAGTTGATAGTCCATTTTGCACCTGAATAATAACAATGAGCCATCAAATTTTATACGTATTAAAACAATGATCGATCACTTGAACCACTTTATTGATGCTAATTTTTAAGTAATGTACAGCGCTGCATATAGTACCCAGTGACCCGATTTTTTACTTAGTGGGAAATTAAAAATATCACATGATTGTATAAATCATATAAAAAATTTATTACTTATTTGTCACGCAGAGTCCTATATCTAATATGCGACGCTGTACGTACGTACGTACGGGTATTCAAATTTAGAAAAAAAAATTTTAATTGGGGTATATATGTATTTTAGCTCAAAATTAATCACAAACAATGCCCAAGTAAAAATTGATTAATGTACAATGAAGAAAGGACAATTTTAAGAAAATATACAGCTTGTAACAAAAATTATAAAAAATTATGTACTTTCATAAGTACGTAATTGATAAAAATTAAAATGAAATGTATGGAATTCATGAAAAAAAATACTTAATCTAGATATATAATTATATATTATGCATTTTATGAAATGCAAAAAAAAGTCTTTTTAGTTTAAAAGGGCAATATTAATGAGTAGGAAAAAAAGTCTTTTTAGTTTAAAAGGGCAATATTAATGAGTAGGAATAGAAGTAAGATCTTCAATATTAATTCCTGAACCTGGAGGAAGATTTCTGCTCCAAGGGCTACAGTTAAGATTTTCAGGAAGATCGGGTATATTTGGAAGATAGAAGAATGCAACAGCTATCATAATATAAGACATCTAAATAAATAAAAATAAAAATAAAAATTGATAAATTAGTTTGATAAAATGTGTATAATTTTAGTATTGATAGATAATAAAAATAGGAATAAAATAAATGAAACATACAATAAGCATATATCCTTCTAACCAATTAGCTTTACCGTCAGCAACTAGATAATTAACAATTAGCACAGCACAAGCCAACACACTGACTTCCAATACGTTGAAATCTAAAGTTAGTGGCCTTGAAGTCATCCAACCGATAAGAACAAGAAGAGGGCCAATTAAAAGAGCAATTTGCTGATTTTTTGAAGATTTAAAATTTTTATTAATAAAATTTTAAAAGCAACAAATGAAAAAATAATTAAAAAAATAATTACCACAGAAGTATTGAGAATTAAACTAACAGCTGTATCGACCTTATCTTCAGAGGCTTCTTTAATAGCTTCATAGTGTTCCATAAAGTTTGATACCACTATATATATGCGTATATATATTATTAATAGTAAAAAAAAAAGCAAACTGAAAGAGTGGAAAGCATAAATATATATATATACCACAAAGAGGTATAAGGACCATCCCAATGAAACCGTTTCCAACTCTAAAAGTTTGAGCCAAATGTTCTATACTTGTCACAAGGTATCTTGCACATACAGTAATACCAGTAACAGACAAGGCAACCCTAAGAATAAAAAATGATTTTAATACGAGCGTTGAAATATAAAATAAAAAGATTTTTTTTAATGCTTACAAAAACACATCATAAATAAGGAAATATTGAGCAGTTTTTTTAACATGTTCATCTGTATCAATAGCCTAATAAATAAGAGAGAGAGAGAAAACAAGTGAGAAAATAGTAAGAAAAAATAAAAATTATTTGAGCAAAGAAGATCTACAGACCTCATTAGCATGAGTCTTCAACTGAAACACCAAAAGACCAGCATATACTAGTAATAGAATAATAGCAGTAGCATGACTAAGGGTTTGAATATCACATTCAATGCCGGTACCTTCAGGAGCAGCAAGCCTGAATGCAGCAGGAGTAACAAGAGCAAGAACAGCAAGAGCAAGTGTTGAAGCACTAGTTGATATCCATAATTGAGTACTCAATTCAGTATTATTATTCTTATTGTCACGATGTTTTGTAGGCCATGAACCAGCCAAAAAGACTACACCAAGAATCTATAAAAGTTTAAAGATTACAAATGGTTACATAAATTATGTAAGACTAAATAATAAATTAGAGGAGAGTTACTCACCAACAAGATATTACACAGAATAGCACCAAGCAAGGAAGAACGGACGATTGCATAGTTTCTGTCCATTAAAGCATAACCTAAGATAACAAGTTCGACAAAGTTTCCAGCACAAGCATGTAGAACTACGCCATATGCCTATTATCAATATATGAAATAGTAAAATTTAGCTGAAGTGAAGAAACGCGATAAAAGCTTTAAAAAAAAAATCTTTTTATTACTGGAGGCAATCTTGTCGCGAAATCATCAATTCCAACAGTCATAATTTTGGATAAAGGAATTATTGCCAAAAAATTAAATATAAATATTAAACCCGAATTGAATTGAAATCTCTTCAAAATAATAGCAGGAGGTAAAAAAATCAACAAAAAATTTGATTTGAAAGCAGTCAAAATAGCTTTGGTATTTTTATACCATTTGACAGCATCTTTAGACATAACTTTTTCATGTTGATTTTTTTTATTGGAGTTTTTTTCAATGTCAACATTTTCATTATCTGCATCTTTAATAGGGACGTCATAATAACTGATAATATGGCTGTTATCATTGTTTACTACATAATTTGGTGTATTATTATTTGCGAATTCGTCGTTTGATCTTGCTGTGTAGTTGGTTTCGTAATTTTGATATGCCATTCTTTATTAGTCGATTAAATGTTACCACTTTTCGTTTTTTATAAGAAATTGCCCTTGATAAAAATTTAAACAGCTAAATGATAATTAAAAGAATGTGCATAAAAATTTTGCGTCTAAAGAGAAAAAGAAAAAGAATATATATATATATTGTAGTATTGAAATATACCACCTTCGATCAAAAGGAAAATATGTCAAATATTTATTAATAAATTAATAAGGAAATCATTTCTAAGCGCAGTTAACCCTTAATACTAGATAATTTAATCTCGATTCCCATGTGGTACGACATTATGTTCGATTGTACGGGGAATCGATAAAAATAGTTATTCGTAATATGCCAAATTCAGCACAATTACAAACACATATTAGTATTAGCGTTTTCTGTTTGGGGGGCAAAAAGATTGTTTTTTGTATGTTCCTCAACTTTATAATAAGAGTTTTGTGTCACAGTTCATGTAAATTCCAGATGATAAAAACAAACTGAAACTATATGCTGTATTCGTTATGAAACCAAAAGAAATATTTATATGGTAAGATTTTCAATTCAATTATTGGATAAACCAGTTATTTTTCTTCATTACGTAGAGTTACTTTTAAGAGTTTAAGTTTTATTTTTACTGTTTTATTAATCATCAGAGAGTAAATACGATCATGGAAAGTAATTTTCTTTCATAGAATGAAACTAAATAGATTAACCACCACCAATTATTTTTAACGAGAAACAATATAAAACAATATAAAACTATTAGCTATTAGCAGCTAGAATTTGCCAATAATAGCACCGTGGTTTAAAATTTAGCAAACTTATTAAATTGTTTTGACGCACGATTCTGCTAAGTGACCCTTTATACAGTTTATGATTTAATTCGAACTTTAACAAATATTTATTCTTCGAAACGTTGTGTAACTGCATTAATCGTGTCACACTTGAATTGGCTTATACAGTATATTGTTTAATCGGAGATCATGTCATAATATTTACATATTAAAATTATATGTTAATTGTCGAATATTTTAATAAAGTTTTAATTAAGAAAGAAGCATCGAAAAGGAACAAGATATTCTGTACGCACGATTCAAATTTTAATTTAATAGCTAAAATTGAATTGATCATCTTATGTAAATCTTAAACTGTTTAACACATACGTACGTTCTATATCTGATATGCATTAATACATTGTATCAGGTATCACAAATTTTGATTACTCTAATATTAATGCCCATATAGTAGTACCCCCTTGAAGTACGTAGTATTCTTTTTAAATAGTATCAGGGTATTATTCAATTATAAATTCTAACATTTTTGAAAAGTATCCCGGCATTAATCAAGTAACCGAATCAATGATCCTGTTATACGATCAACTCGTACGATTAATATTCTCTTTAGTGTACCCCCTTGTATAGTATCCCCCTCTTCAAGCAGTACCCCGGAGGTATTATTTAATTAATCTTGGATTTCTTGTAAAAGACTGGGACACTATATGCAGCGCTGTCGGTATATATTTCTCAAAAACGTCCATTTTGAAGCTTTGTAAGTACGATTTTCTGATTAAGTTTTTTCAATGATGTTTAAGCTTAGATAACTTACTTGATAAATCCTGAAATTACTAAAATTAATTTACTTCACTCGTATTATTTTGTTAGAAAAAAGTTATCATCGGGATCCATATATATATATCTTATTGAATATTCTTGGCATTCTTTATTATTAATAATATGTTTACTTTTTGTGTTTGTTTATCGTAGCTTGTTTCAGTCATTCACGTGAATATGTAGTTTGTTCTTGGTATGCTTCTTGATTATCATCAAAAAAACAATAACAATTTTTTTATTTTGTGCTTTAAATTCGTGAGCTTCATTTATCTAGATCGGAGATGCAGTATAAATTGTTACGCTCATTACGGCGCATTTGCGAAATTAAGCAGACAATTTGTCACCAAATCCAAGCATTTGGTTCCCCAAATTAAATTTT